TAGCAGAAGTTTGAAAACCTAAAATCCGGTTTTTGTTTTAGCAACACTGAAAAGTCACATATAAAAAGACAGCTGTATGGTATCATACTGGTACTTATTATGTATATGTGATTTTAATTGTATGAAGTATAATTATTTGCCACTGCATGCGGTCAAAAAGTCAAGTTTCAGCCTTATCTATAAGATTAAAACAAACACAGTCATCTTGTCAATAGTTCCTATTATATTTTTCTATTGGAACAATTATGGTTTTACTGTCAACAAAAACCAGCTGTTTCCGTTCATCTATACTGGTAATGATTGGTTTGACTGCAAAGCTTTTCATTTATGCACCATTTAATTATATAAAGACTGTTCCGGCAGGGTTGGGCCTTTACCTAGGTTTGAAAATTTAGAAGTCCTATTTATTCCCTGGGATTCAGGGGCCATAATTACAATTGACTTGTGCATATTGTGGTGCAGTCTGAGGCATACAATCTAACTGAAATAAATGTCTTAACTTCCAATGCTCAATTTTTGAATAGTAATATACCTACATACCATCAAAGTTTGTAGTAAAAAAATAAACCATCAAAGCCTTTAATTCTATCACTTTTATATCTAGAAAATATAGAATTGTAGAATTTGAATGCTGATACTGGTAGCTAATTTAAATTCGGAGTTAATCTCACAATAAAGTAGGTTTTGCCTCAGATTAAATGAAAACTAGTTAGCAAACAGCAGAAATTAGTGTAATTTGTCTGTGATTAGAGGTATGTAAACAAATCATAAACAAAATGTCCACAGACCTCTTAAACTCTCATTGATTTAACTGACCTGTCAATCATGATTAACTGGAATACTTTGTGTAATTTCAACCAGAGAGCACAAAGATAGTTCAATGTTTTGAACAAGTGTATCATACATGATAAAAGATGAGTCAAAAGTAAATATTTATACTCAAAAACAGAGCACCTGTTACCTGTAGGGCTTTGATCTTTTGAGGATAAAAAAGAGGAGAAGTGAAACGAAAATGAACAAGTTGGACTCTATCCAAGCTTGTATGAATTTGGTCCATTGAAAACAAACGATCCAAAGTTTGCTTATCAGATTCTGCCATACACCATCAAGAGGGTTTTTGTACTTTTCCTGGCAGATATTTATATTATAATCAGAATGGTAAATCACCCTTAGAGATGAGTTCTTACCGAAATTTTAAAAATAGACTATATTCTCACACTATTAGAAACCCCTTGAATAAAGGCATTGTTTAATTTTAAGTGTAGCTTATAATGCAACCGTATTAGAAGTAATTACTTTTGTATACTATGATAAGTCAGTTCTTTTCACTTTACTAAAGAAATATCATCATCATTTTTTTTATATTCAAGTTACTATAACATATAGGAATATTTAATAAAAATCAAATGGAATACTTAAGGTCAGGAGCTAAAAAAGGGAGTCATGAGAAACTATCGTGGAGATAAATATGCCAAATTATTTGTTGTTTCAGCCTTTAAGTTGCAATCAAGCAATTTTCTCAATTTCAACATCAGCAAAAGGCTGAAAATTAAGATGGATGGCCTGCATGTGAAACACTCATAATGTAGCATTTTGATGCATAATTTTTACGCAAAGAAAAAAAAGATTTTAGAAAAACTAAACTCATATAATTATGTACATGAATGTAGATATTCTGCATAAACTTTTCTGAAGGCCTGCTTCGAAAAAAAGATTTTTTTCCCAACACCACCCAAATTGGGCAACACAACACAACACAACACCACACTATCACCTGTGTGCAGGCATTTAAGCAGCATACTTACAGATTCATGCTAATTTTCATGAAAATTTTGTAATTGTATTTAAAAGTCAAAATATTGTGAAGTAAACATGAAAAGTAATTTACATATTGCAAACAGCACTTACAATCAATGTAAATGTGGTCAAAATATGCAAAAATAGTCCTAACTGCTTAAATCACAAAATAGAAATATGGTGACAAATACTGTAAATTCAGTCAATAATAACACATAACATGTAAACTATTACTTAAAGCTTGAATCTTTTTATTTTTCTTAAAGTCTAAGTACATTTTTCTCAAGTTTGATTTTCTTGAAAAATTTTTGGCTTATCTGGAGGCATGCGACTTTAAATTACTCATTACTTGTAGTAATAATGAAACAAAAATTGTAAAATTACAACAACAAAATCATTAGATATATTACATTGTGTATTTACAAATTTGGCAGAATATAGCTGCTGAAAAAATGTTGTTGTTGTTTTATTTTTTTTTCATTTTTTTTTTAAAGTACCATTAAAGCCTAGTTAAAATGGAAATAGCAAAAGTTTTCTTATTCACAGGTGTAAAATTTCACACTCTGTGTCCTTACTCAAATATTTAATCAAGTGCATCTGTAAAATACCACCTCCTTATTATCATTTTTATCTGCATTGCACACAGCAGGCAGATTATGAGAAATTCAAGTGCTGCTGCAAATATCAGGCTTGATAAAACCAGCAAAAAACATTCATTTCAAATGTTTTTTTATCAAAATCAAAGTATTACTTTTTTTATGAATTTTACTTTTTTGATGAATATATTTCATTCATATAAGATATAAAGTCCCACTTACGATTAAAATATTTCCTTACAAAACCAGGAAAGATGATATTTTCTGTTTTTTGATTTTACTCCCCCCACTCCCCTCCCTGTAAACGTGGAAAATTGCAGCAGTCGAGACATGTCGCCAAACTTGGCGCAGATAATGCTGTATAATTACAACAACCGCAAGTCAATCAAAATCTCTGATGCTCAAAGACTAGTAATTAAGTCAGTGACTGGGCACCAATGGTTCCCTGCAGCAGCCATCTGCTTGCTCTGTGCCGATGCAACGCACACATCCATCAATGTCACACGGAGAGAGGACATTACAAACATCAATTCTAGGCTTAATCAATCATATTTCAATCCCATTTCTGTATGGAGCCAGTATCACAATTACACATTCCAGCACCATTTTATAAACTGACAAACCAAAATAGGAAAACACCCTATATTTTTCTATATTAGATAATTTTTTTCAACATGATCTCATTGGAGATGCCATTGTTCTGATAATATTATATAGAGATCATAAAACACCTTTCTATATCATTAATCATTGTAATAGAACTAAGCATGCAATGCCAACCATCATGGATTTTTTTCCAAGAAACCTTATCCAAATAATGAAAAAAAGTACTAGATAACATATCAAGACAAAAAAAATATCAAGACAAAAAAAAAATGAGAAACAAAGAATATGCCAGAGCTTGAAATTTAAAACCCACTTTAAGTGGAGCAGCCTAGGTCTAAATATGGAATATTATTGTCATGTGACTTGTTGCCTAGCTATCAGAAATCTGTTGCCTCCAGGAGCTTGCAGGCTCAATAGTCAAACAACAAATTGTGTAATTATCAAACGCCTAATTAACCCAGATCAAATAACAAGCACAATGTGCATAGTCTTTCATGATAAATGGAGGAAATTTTAAAACAGCTGTGAATTAAAGGAAGTTAAACATTGCAAAAAGGTTCTTTTGTCCTTGTAACTTATGAATTGGAGCAAGATAACAAGATTCAGATGAAACTGACATGTAAAAAGCAACATCTGTCACTTGAAAATGCATTAATTTATCGACAGTAATGGTAACTATAAACACAAATGATAACCACTTTACTGATTATCATCTCACAATGGATTGTCAATATTTTAATGGGTGAGACCACACCACTTCAATGAGCACAACCACACAAGTTCACACAATGACTGTGTCACAGGTCAGTCGGCTGTGTTTTTACTCCACTGTTGACCAGGGTAATAGACCAGAAATAATAGGTGCCTTGAAGGGTTCATGACCACAGAAGCCTATGCTATGTGACAATAAGGTTGTTATTGAATGATTTTATCCTTGTAAGGAAAATTAAGTTTGCAATGCAGCATATTAAAGATGCCCTTAATGGTAACAACTAAAAATGAAATATATTTGTTATTGTCATTCTTCTATTTAAGAGTTACTTTTGGTGACTGTAGATAAAGATATATATCAACATTCTTTTGTTCCTGTGGATTTAAAATCACATTAACAGAATTACATTTATACATGAACTAGCAACTGACCTTCTAACCTGGGTATAACAACCAACCTTCTGTATGATACATGTATCTTAATAGTTTCCAGCAAGAGCAAAAATCCCTTAACATCATTCTAAAGATTCTATCAAACCATCATATTAATCATCAAACAACATAAAATAAATTGTAAAATAAATCCCAGATAATTAGAAAACAGTGACATGCTTTGTGTTAAAATGATAAAAGAAATCATTAAAATATATATGTGGGGATCATCAGAACATCGTTTTAACTTGTTCTTTGTCTTCTTAGATATATGTGGATTTCTCCATGCATAAGATAAATGATTAAGATTTAAAAAATACATGTTTTTTCCCATTAAATTCTTTTTCAATCAAATCTTATCACTGATTAAATCAGCTACATGAAAATGTTTCCAAGTGACTGGAAACAAAGCCTAATTTCTTTCTATGATAATCAGATATTTTGAAATGTATGTCTACATCTTATGATAAGATCAAATCTCATTCCTTCCAATTATTCCAGGTGTTTTTATCAGCACATTGTATCAGTGTAGATCACAGCTTCCAACATTTTATATAAACATTAATGTCAGTATTCCCCCATTCTGACATCATCCTGCTATAATCTAAAGAAACATTTATGAGGCTATTTCTATTACATATATAAACATACTGAGAAATAAGAGGGGAAAAAAATCCCCCAGCCAGATGACCATAAAACTGTCCATTGTCCTTTGTTTAGTACTTGTGTAAGTTGGTTACTACAATATATTTTTTTGGGAATCCTTCGATTAAATCTGTATAATTAATAATCTTAACATGTCACACAAACAGAACATGTTCATCAAATTCTCAATTTTCTTTTGAAAAATCTAATCAAATAAGACGTGCATCATGTGACCCTAGCTAACAGGAAAACTTCTCCCTTGAGATGGTTCTATGACTGGAAAATCTGACAAACACTGTGGCGGATATTAAAACTCTTACAATGGATATTAAAGGTGATAAAACATTCCCTTGCAAAACAGTCTTGTAAAATTCCGCTTTAATCTTGGGAGATTTGCCTTCAGGAAACACTTTGCCTGTTTTGCTTCGGAAGATTAACATAAAAGTTTCATCTCACAAAGAAAGTCTGGTTTGAAACACCTGATTTTGCAATGAAATTTCTCACAACATTAAAGAAAAAAATTATCATTTGGTTTTTCATGTGAATTTATGAGAAAAGTTTTTTTCTCAAACGTTTAACTTGGAGTTAAGAATCACAGTTTATCTAGACAGTATAATATACAGATAGAGATTAAAAGAATAAAGATATAATTTAATAAATACAGGGTTATCTCTATAATTGATTTACACTCAGCCTAAAAGGGTCATGAAATATGAAAGCAGCAATATTACTCCCCTAAAGAAACTGATGTATTGAATTTCAGCATCAATAGGGTTGTTAAAAACTGGTTAAACATATAAAGTGCTTTTTCTTTATTCTAATAATCAATTAGTCCCAACAGAACAAATATTAGCAATAAATTGGTATTGACCAATTTCTATTGACTTCAATGTCTTTATTCTTTTTATGTATAGAATAAAGTTATTAGAGCTTGCAAGGCTTAAGAGATTTTCATAACCCAATAATCAATACCATTAAAGTAAGTATCCCATACATTTATTGTTATCTTTATGTATAACAAAAAAAAAGACATAAACAAAGTGATAAGGCATTCAAATGTCAGACTCTCAATAAATATAGGCCTATTAATTTATCAATTTTAAGCAGATGCAAGAAAGATACAAAGATTAGTTTCAGATTCTTTTAAAAAAAATGGCACATTAAAAAATCAAGATATTGTTATTTCGACAAGTTTGGTCCATCATTTTAAACAACAGTACTTCAATCATTATAAGTTAAAGTACTTATCTACATGCTGTTAAGAAAGAATTACTCTAGCCTATACTATCTTCTCTGGGAAAATACATAGATGAACATTTGCTCCCCCTCCCCCCCCCCCCAGGTGTGGAGGACATAATTTCAGTGATGTATGTAAGACATCATATATTCTTCTAGAAGTGTCGTAGAAAAACCTGTACCATTATTTCAACATACAGAGCCGAGGTATTGTACTATATACAAACCCAATTGCAATTTTAACCCAACCTCACTTAATATCTTAAATGAGCTAGTCTATCATTAAAACTAGACAAAACCATTAATCATTTTAAGGAAAAATTTCAAAATAATTACTAACCCAGAAAAGCGAACAATTGCAGACCATGATCAGATGGCATTGATATACTGGCTGATCTAAGTCAGCACTTGTTAGTCATGTGTAGCCTTAAGATGCCACTAGGCTTAGGGTTTATTTAAAAAGTATATATTTTAACTATATTTCCCAATCAACTAAAGGAAGTATATAAATAAATATGATAACTACAGAAGTGCAACAATTTTATTGTTGATTTATTGTTCTAGACAAGAACATTATGGCATGGAGATGAGAAAAAATCAACTTGGAATATAGTTACAGGGCTCTTACATAGCTGTAATAAAAACTAATCTAATCAAGCTTCATAATTTCTTCCTTCCTTTGAAAAACGAGGTAGGATATCCCATAAAAAACACCATTTCCACTTGGCACCATAAATCAAAATGAATTAGGTATATAGTCTATTTAATATGTTTATATTTACATTTTGTACAAATACAAATTTGTAGTTTGAAGTTTCCTTGATAAAGTAAATTGTTTTGATGCACATAATAAAGTCATTACCAAGTTTACCTCCCATCTCTTCCTGTAACTAAAACAGTTTAATTTAATTATGTGCACTTCCTGGGTAAATAGCTATTTTTAGCAATTCAGTTGATAAAATCAGTAAGGGGCACAGAAATGTTTTGCCTGTTTTTTCCCTCTGTTTTGTAAACTGACTCGACAACAGTTGCATTAATTTAATAAACACTGTAATTATCATAAAGGGTGATAAAAGTCAGTAAGGGGGCACCATTATGTTTTAAGAGAAACACTTAAGTTATTACAGACAATGTTATATTTCAAGGGGCAGCATAATGTATTAATGTGCACAGTTAAATTTTCAAGGAGAACAGTTATGTTTCCTTTGTTTACCTCCTTTCTTTGAAAATGAAGAAAATAAGATTACGGAAGGAATGACAAGTGTGTGATATAATTCAATAAACATCACAAAACATGACAATATCCCAACAAATCATGTTGAAAGTACATAGCAGGACACTCTACAAGAAGTGTGAGAACCGAATATGAAACACAGCATGAATGCAACAACACAAATTTGAGCTTTTATTCAGTCAGAAAATTGCATTAAAGTCGTTTAACAGTCAATATTATGTGTTTGTTAACCATTACATTTTCAATTTTGGAGTATTCTTTTGCATTTTCCTGTTAGTTACCTTGCATGTATAAATCATTCTCTCACAGATTTATGCCACAAATATGTTATGATAGAGAAAGGAAACCTTTTAGCAGATGTCACCATTTTACTTATAAATAAACAATAATTGAATTAAAATGCAAAAAAAGTTCTTCACAGACTTTGTGGTGTTTCAGTGTCAACATAAAGACTGTTGTAACATGTATAAAATATACTCAAGTAATGTCAATTTATGTAGTTCTAAGCTGAATGAGGGTCCATCCACCCTTTCAGACAGAAAGTAGCTTTTGCTATTGAGAATTCAGACAAGTTGTGCCCTGAGTTAACTTTGAAACACTAACTGGTTGGTGATAATTTACCTTATTAAAATTTCCACAAAAGGAAAAGTATTGAGTCACTATACAGCAGTCAAAGAGACCTAATTGAACATTAAGTAATGGAAAGGTGAGTTGTCCAAAGTAAGGACTGTTAAGCTATTTGGGCCATCCCTGTGTGCTTGGGACTCGGGGCTCACACACCAGAAGACCCTTCCTTTTTGTCCCCGCCACTACATTGAATTTTAAGGCCTCCCCATTGCTTCAGTCGACACCAGATGGCCTGCAGGATCAGTGATTTGGTTATCTTTTTTACTGCCCTAAGTTTTGAGAATCTGCCAATGTCCTGTGCCACTTTACAACATGCATGTAGAGAGAGTTGTCTGAAGTTCCACTAATTATATAATAGTTATGAAGGTAGGTGTGCACTCAATCTTAACATAAAGTACTGTATAATATGGACAGATCTGATTTGTGTTTGGAACATGAAAAATACATCACATCCGTTGTTAAAAAAAAACCCCAAAAAACCTGAGCAGTTGGTGCAAGTATAACTTGATACTTTATACAGTACAATAATATCTAAAATTTGAATTACATAAGTACATAAGATTGTATAATTTTGCAGCAATAACAAAGTTAAATTATATGATATTAAAAGATATTTTTTGTTTAATCATGCAAATCTCTCCTAAAACCATTTTATACAGAATAATTTCCATGGTAACCAGAGTATAATTAACAATTATGTCAAAATTGCTTTTGTTATTTTTATTAATATTACTCTTAATACTTCCTCTTTTATAATATTATAAAATCAATAAAAATATGTAAAATTATTGAAAAAGGTAAAAAATATCCATGTAATATTATATACTTATAGGTAAATAATTTTTTTACCAAAGTCCTTAAAACGACTGATTTTTGTTTCAACTTAAAACAGAATTGTCACAATGTACCGTGTAACAGAAGCTTTTTCATTCACCATCAACAAACATTAATAAAAATTGATTCAGTAACATTATCAATGTTAACCATCTGTAATATGAGTATCACTGCTGTTTCTTCATCATTTTATGACATCAATTTTATTTTCTATTTCAAATGCAGGGAATAATTAAAATAATTATTATCCTGGTCGCATGTATTTAAACCATTGTTGCGTTCAGACCACTTAACGCTCATTTTCACATTTTAATCAATTTTCTGTATAATTTCGGTATTTTACATGTCAATCAATATTTGCCGCGCAGAACTTGCTTACGATTCATTTCATTTGTAAAGCAATAATCCTCCATTTGTGACAGTCGGTTACTACAGTGAGAGGAAATTAATTTTTTTCCATCTAGAAAATCTCTCGATTTAAGTATTTCCCCCCATATGATGATTGTGTACGTTACCATATAAATATCATCCTGCATTACCACTTACATATGTGGGAAAATAACGTAAAATTATACAGACACTCGGCAATTTTCTCTCAAACTGACAAAATTTTGCCTTTTAATTTGGATATATTGTAACACTTTCCAATATAACGTGAAAAGCGTCTACTTTAGTTGGCAACCTTTTGTTTTATGGTAGATTTTATACTATCATTTTGGCTATGTTTATATAAGACACCCTGACTTTATTTTTCTAGCTTATAAAACCTCCATAAAATCATAAAAGGCCATCTCTGAGCACTTTGTGCTCAGTTGAGCTAATAAAGAAAACATCTTACAATCAATTAAGAAAATGCATAAAAAATACAGATTATCATTATTTTATTCAGTGTCTAAAACACTATGATAAGACATCTTACGCATTATATAACATTATACATGATACTCGATTATAAATGTATGTAATATTAAGCAATGAAAATGGTTTTTTTTTTGAAAAAAAAAAAAAATATTTTGCAAATTATTTTTGAATTTGAATCAAATATGCAGATTCTAGCAGAATATAATTTAGCTGGAAATTTTAGTCATGGAATTATATAACTTTAGATCTTGGTTCAATGTATTCTACAGAATTCAGTGCTCCAGAAAATAATACTTCATATAAATTATGTAACAATAAGATCAGTTATTTTACAGATCCCCTAAGAACTATACATATACATTATGACATAAGTATGTAATTACCTCTTTTTCTTAATAATATATATTTTTATTTAACTATACCTACTTTTACACTAAATAGTCTTTCTGATATCAAACATTTATTTTTTTCTACATTGAAAATGTCACAAGCAGTATATAAAACAGTGGTCACATTTTAGATAACCCAATAGACCTAAAGTGGAAAAGAAAAACAAGGGAAAAAAACTTACCAATTAATATCGGTTCTAAATATCAGATCCACTCCAGTTTTATTTATTATCCTCTAATCCTGAAAGTAAATATATAACTGTCTGTCAAATCTCTTACTATACCACACTCACTTTGTCATAGTAGTATAACATGTATACATTACTAAGGTAAAAAATCCACTCAGTGTAATATCTTATTTTTTAATTATTTTTTATTTTCACTATTTTATGGATATATTATTTTTGTTATTATACTCCATGAAAGAGTTAAAGTTTTCCACATAGAGAAATGTTAAGCACTAGTATTCACTCTGCATTGAGCACACAATTACTGTACGCTGCTAGGCCATGCTGATAACATAAAGTCCAATATTTCTATCTCCTATCAGAGACTATGTTCAATGGTATTGGGAAAAACAGAAAATGTTTTTCCCTATAGTAAAATATTATGGATATAGCATGCAAAGCAAAATCTTTTTAGTTTATTTTTTTTTCCTGAATTATGCGAATTCATGTCAAAAATTTCAAAGATTTTATAGTTTTGTAATTCTGCAATCAAATTTTGTTATAAGTAAATAACCTCTATTAAGTTTCAAAAATTTTAAGTGAAATTTGAGAAGTTTTTGAGACTATGCCAATGTTATGGAAATTTCATATTTAAATTCAATAAATTCAGGGGTATTTTAGAATTAAGCCAGTTTTCTTATCCTATATAGATGCTATAATTCTATTTTGTTTCCATTTTTTAATGAGACAGATGTAGTAATTTAAAGTCATATTGCACAGGGCATTTAACAGAAAGAATGTTACATGAGGTTTATTGTTACATTAAATATTTTATATAAAGTATTTTACATGAAGTATAATACATAAAGTATTTTAGGGCCCAGTTACACAGACGGTCGGTCCCCAATCGGTCATTTGATTTTAAATTTACTCTCTGTTATGATCGGTTGTCATGCGTGATTTTATTTCTGGTTTTCTGTGTAAACGGCCATCGGTGACAGAAAGCAAACTCAAACGTGAACGGGTCGATGAATAAATGCTGAAATACTTTTGTTTTTTATTGTTTGTAAATCGGAGCTAAATCGGGCGTAACGCTGATTAATCGGTGTTTGATAGCTAGTCATCAGTGGTTAAACACTTTCCGTCCGATATGGCCGGTGATTCATATTTGGTTATCTTTGTCCGATCGGCGATATCGGTGATTAAGAGCTTGCATAACTCGTGATATAGGTTGCCATCGGTTATTTTTAAAATATTTTCACCAATCGAGAATAATTATTTTAAACGTGTTTAAAAATTCCAATCGGTAATTTTTCACCGATGAAACTTATCTTTCCCCAATAGCAGTTGATAGATGGAAAACAGGTGACCAATAGGTGATATCGGTGTTAAATATGTTGTCATCGGTTCACTCCATAATTTGGCTAAAAAAACTACCGATCAATCACCGATGGCTCTGTGTAACTGGGGTGTTACATAACAAAATTAATGTAACACATAGTATCTACCATTAGTTAACATAAAATATCTTTAATAAAGTATGTTACATATATAGCATGTAACTTACAGTATGTTACATCAAGTAGTTTACATAACAAAATTAATGTAACACATAGTATTTTACATAAAGTATATAATATAAAGTATTTTAAATAAAGTAATAAGTTACATATAGCATGTAACTTAAAGTATGTTACATAAAGTATTCTACATAAAGTATTTTCCATAAAGTATTCTACATAAAGTATTTTACATAAAGTATGTTACATAAGGTATTTTATAAAGTATGTTACATAAAGTATGTTACATAAAGTATGTTACATATAGTATGTTACTATGATAAAACTCACTGGACAGTGCAATTTCTTGTTACAACTTCTATATTCTGAGTTAAGTAAAGCATCCCTATTTTTTTTAATCAATAATTCTTTCATAAGTTTTGTTTATTCTTGGAGGTCAAGCTAAATTTTCATGTACCATAATGGCACAGGTGCACTGAATTTTTCACAATTATTCACCATTTCAACATAAATGTTGATTTCTGCTCAAATTAAAATTCTTAAAGTTCCTTCTGTGAAAGTTAGTTCAGTTAGTACATTTTCTAAAATGTCTTGCAGCATTATGATGATATCTTACAAAGCTGAGCACTCAAATATATTTAGTATATTTTCAAAGACTTCACACTGGAGTTAATTTCATTAATCAATTTTAAGGATGATGTTTTTTGAAGAATTAAAAATTTACCTCTTTCAAGAGACAAAAGCAGTTTCATATGATATAAAAAGACAATCTATAGATCTCTCAAAGGGGTCATACAAACTTAATTTGTTTATCATTAAAGATAAGGTTAAAGATAAGGTAAATTACTAGTCTAAGTAATTGATTCAAGCACTATTATATTATATAGTTAAAGGTGGAATTTGCATGTACCAAAAGATGGCCAAATATTATAAAGTATGTAAATTTGTTTATTTTTTAATCCTCACTGTTTATCAGCACATGGTTAATCCACAAAGAGTTGTATTCTATCAAGATTGTGCAAGTTTGAAGAATTTTTAGACCAGACATTTTTACATGGCCCTAAGTCAAGTGATATCCAAAAATACTTTTAGGCATTAATTCTAAATACATTTTAAAGTTACTACTATCTTTGTGAGACCCACTGTAACCTTTTGTTATTCAGATCAATTCCTGTGACTGACTGCACTGCCAGCCAGAGCTGTTGGAATGTCAATAGCTGTAAAACCTGGGCTACATGAATTATGCATGGTGCACCAAAACACTGCTACTTCCAACTGATTCCAAAATTAATCGGACAGTCCCGTTACAGCAACAATTGTTTAGGTTTGTAGACATAGATATGTCTCACTGGGTATCATTAAAGTGACATGTGCGTAGGTGCATCGACAGTTTAAACTTCCACATCTAATTGATTGCACAATTGACAATGTTGGATGTGTAATCAGGGTTTCAACAGCAGTGAAAAACAACAATTAACAGAACCCCAAAAGGAAAATCTTAATCATACTGCGATATATCAGTTAAGTTTGTATTACAAATCAATGTATATGGTTTAAAACAAGATCCTTAATTTGTGAAATTTCTTTTTGACAGATAATTTTTTTCAGTTTTTTTTTCACCATGTTTCGCCATTATGGGGGTGGGGGATGATATTCCATTGTGTTCATTCTCCTTTGCTTAATTTGAAAATTTTCATAGCCATGCAATTTTGAAAACGACTAGAATGTAATTCCTTTGAATTCCTGACAGAATAAATTGAAATTTAATCATGTAAGATAATTTTCTATCAACAGATGGCAGCTAAAATTATTATGGAAGCGTGACAATTTTATAAACCATATCTTAAACAATTAAAATCAAGTATTAAAAGTTTTAAACATTTTGTTCAGAGGTTGACCACAAATTATCAAACAAAGTGATTGAATAGCAAGAGGATAGGATGCAATTAGTGTTTCAACAAGAAAAGCCTTCCCTTGACAAAATGTAGCATACTTGCCTTGAACCAAAACTTAATTTGAATTTTTCTTCAAGGATACATCATTCTGAAAATCAATCTCGAGGACTTTCATTAATTGTAATCACAGGAGGACTTGGTTTAGAGATTATTGTTACTAGATTTGAGTACAGATTTATCTTGCTTTGGGTTAGAGACTTTTTTCAGTTTGCCCTTAAATTGAATGACAGAATCCAGATGATTATTAAAATGTTTTCTGTAGAATCAATTGAAATCATTATCTTTTTATGGTATTTCAATACTAGGGAAAAGAGGCTATTTTTAATGCTTTCAAAAGTGTGCATGTATATGCAAAGAGAATTAATTAAACTTCACAGGATAAACCAATTATCTAAAACATTTTTCTGTATTTGAGTTCTGGCCAGTAAGCAAACATTTTATAGCAATAATAGACCTGATTACGAAGTTTTGTAAAACTTCAGCAAGTGCATTCTGTGATCAATGAAAGAAACATTATGGACACTTGTTTAATTATTCATACATTTGTTTACTTAAAAGGTATGTGCTCTACTTAAGTAAGTTCAGTCAGTACAATATTTTTTTACTATTCTTATGGCTTATGGGGCATAATCACCAGGGACAGTGTGTATGTGTGTGTTGGGGAGGGGGAATAGGCCACGGGGAGAGGGGGCATAATAAGCAAATTGTTTTTTACCTTACATATATTCCTTCATGGTGACAAGATGGCTGGAGATGTCCAAAGGGATTAATTCCCATATTCCCTAGGACATGGGAACTTAGGTAACAACAAATTGGTGCATTATTCAGTAATTTTCTATCATTCATTTACTGAACAGCAAATTTCTTTGTACATAATGTTCAATGAGGTAAGAGGCCATATAATTCTGCAATTTAAGTTTACATGACAGGGATATTACTTTCTCACAGTACATAAGAAAGAATTTCTATGTTTCTATAATAAGTCATACACTAAGTTTAACTGTATGCCTGACATCACATCCATTTAGGATCAAACATGAGACCATGGATTACAAATACTGAGCTAAATTGTCTAATTGTGTACTTTCAATCATAACCATTAACCCAAAGAGCATGTTCTACATCCAAGCAACATAAAACAATGCTCTCAAATCCAAATATTTACATTGCTTCTTCAGTGTACAAGGTGAAAGGCATGCTACTGTGTATATATAAAACCTTGGTTAGAAATTCTTTTTTTATTTTTTACTTAGATGCCTTAATGTCCTTGCATATGTCATGCCAGATTGAAAACATTGTCATTCATCTGCTTGCTTAAAACTATTATAGTATTATATCCAGTTTCTATTTTTAAATTGGGGGCCTTTAATGTCATTTATTTTAAAATATCCAGAATTTACATTAGAATCCCTACATAAGACCAACTCAAATTTAAGAACACCCCACTATTAAGACCATTTTTTAAAAGAACAGATTTTCCTGTTCTTTATGCCAATAGTTACAATTCAGACCACATTGGTCATCTTAATTGAGGGTTTTTACTGTATTTGGAAAGTCATAAGCTGGCTTGACTCTTTAATGTTACTACTGGTCATATAATTATAGATGTCTTATTTGATCTCCTTATAATGTTAGACAAAGGGAGAATGTGAGAGGAAATATTCAATGTCACCAAATGTTTATGACTGCATGATGTATTTCAATAAAGATTTCATTACATCTCATCATTATGCCCCAATTCACTGGAAATTTGAAGGAAAAACATGTCTCGTACCCTTATCATCTCTCCCATATGACGGATTTCAGACATACTGATTCATAATTGAGAAATATTTGAAATAAAATTCCATTTTGAGACAGTATGTACACCTACACACTTGCAAGGATTTATCCAAGGGAAAAATAAACATCACAAATTATGGATTATGTTTCATTCTGATAGCTTCAAATCCAAGAAAACCTTTTGAAATTTGCTTTACTAACATGATGTGACACAGCTTTCATCTACACTTTCTAACACTGTTAATCCTTAAAGTTCTGAGACCGAAAACCTAAAGCCTTTGCCACCAATATAGAGCCAGGCTAGCCTGCACATCTGTGCAATCTGACCAGGCTCTATACTGTTGGCTGACAAACTTTAAATATTCAAATTGATATCTCTAAAATTGATAATGAACAGTGCTGTCCCAAAAATGGAAGTGGGACAAGTCCATTTAAAATATTCAGCATGTTAAGGGTTCTTTGTCAAAATCTATTGGCAACTTTAAAACTGAAAGTGGTCATTTTTTCAACCCAATAGTAAATGATCTCATATTAAAATACTGGAATTAATGTAAGCATCTACAAAGATTGGTCAGTTTACTGTTTGTAAGGTGACTCTATCAGCAGCTGTAAACAAGATCACCATGCTTGGATACATACCTCTACAAGACTGTGACTAATTATTCCCTGGGTAATACACAACAGCTATGGTCAGTATATTAGTTCCAGTCAATTTAAATAGGCTAGGGAGACTGAGGAATTAATTACAGTCAATTTACAGTATCTATCATTAATGTATAGATCATTACTGTATGACAAACAGGTCAATAATGGACAATCAGAGGAAAATTAGTTACACATTACACACAATCACTGAGGTAATAGTAATGCTATACTGTTGATGATGATTGCAAGAGGATAGGAAATAAAACATTCATTATCTAATCATCAGACAATAGCAAAACCATTTAACATCACCTTACTCTAAAAGCAACACATTCTTAAATAAATAAAGACAATCAGAGGTAAAGTGAACATTGATTGTTGAAAAAATTAAGCTGTATTCTGGACATTTTGTAGTACAGAATCATAGTATCTGTCATAATTTATGTGGCGGTTCGGATCTGAACTTTCATCTTGAGGGGACTCGGAAAGCCTCATTACCACCCATTGGCACGTACCTAGGGATGGAATTTTCTATCTGAACGGCAAACATGTCAGATATTTTTTCTTGCATATTCAACTATATTCTATTATATTTTAAATTCTTTACCTCAATAAAAGTTTCCATGGAAATTAATGTCATTTTATCCATAACAGCATATGAATTTACAACTTCATTCATAACAGCGCCACTCTTAAATATACCAAAATGATGTTATTTTAACGTGGTTTAGTCATTAAATGTCACTGTAAAAGCATGCGACTCATCTGGCACCCCCTATACCAGATGGAATTTACTCAATGGGTAAAACTAACAGTAACACCTGAGTATGATATGCAAGAATTTCCTGTATGAACACAATGTCCACTGTCATACTGAGCTTGGCTGGCAATGTTAAAAAAAAAACCTTGGACCTAATCAGTTAAAAATGTAGCCAAATTCTAAATATAAAAACAACTTTTAATTACAAAACAAATATTTCATATTTCTCAGAAAAAAAATCAAGAATCATAATAAATGATAAATTTTTTATTAAAACTTATTCAAAATGCATAGAATTGTCCCTTGTACAAACCATTTTGTTGCTTGATTGATAATGAATAAAATTTAATGTTTGAACAAAAATATTTAGTAACTGATGATATGAAGTTTCCAATTTTATCACTATAATCGTTTTATTTTTTCTGAATTTGGTTGATGCAGTATTAGTGTCTTTTCAAAATTGGAATTTCAAATAGCAGTTACAAATAAGAATCCTCTCAGGGTGTATGAACATGTCCTGCTAACAGAGGTGCTGAACTCATGTGCCATGAGAACTGTCATTATTGCCAATAGCTCTCTGACAATTATGAAAGTTTGGAAGATAAACGTTCAGCAATCTTTATTTACAACAATGATTTGTTCCAACAAATGAAACCAGATTGAATCTTAATTTATAAACCATTCCAGTTAATCTAATTGGCAGAAACGCTTTTTTTGTATTTCTGCAACATTTTGCCTATTATTCCATCGCCATCAATCACCGTGAAAGTTTCATCAAGATCTGACAATGCTCAAAAGAGAAGCCAGTGCAAGTGGCAATTGTTAGACAATTGTAAAATACCTGAGTATAAATAACAACAAACTTGGAGCACTTACTGAAATGCTTTTACAATTATCTCCAGTAATTTTCTGAGAGAGGAACTTGCAAATTATTATGATCATAAGAAGAAATTCTTTCAGGAAATAAGAAAAATCTTTGTAAGGTCTTCATGAAGTAATGCATATTGCATAAGAGCTAGTGAAATATCCATTAATCATGGTGTCTGAAAAATGTTGTAACAACCAGGAAAACTGGCTGCATAATAAACTAGGCTGCTGATAGAAGCTGAGGAGAATAACAAAAGTAAAATGGGGGAGAGGGGAGGTGGGGTGTCCAAAAAAAAAGTTCCCAGAATTTTATAA